TAAGTAACTACATGTTCGGAGGCCGTGATCGTATCGTGGATTATTCTTCTTTTACTGATTTGGTGTGAGAGAAAACAACGTTCCCTTACGGAAATTTACGATCGTTTACGATCCAGCGAACAGGTCTTAAGACTTCTAAGTAACCAAAATATAAATTCTAAATAGAAAAGGATAATTAGAACTGAAATTAGGCATTCCCTCAGCGGTACGAAGCCTTGGCTTACGTCCTATTTCCGTCCGAGCCTGAGCGTCGTCCTAGCGTTTTCTATGTCGTAGCACTTTTGTTCGAACGTTTCCTGTTTTCCCAATGTTTTTGTGAGACTGCCAGCAGTTCCCTTCTTTTTCCGTGTCCAAACGTACGAGCGTTCCAATTTTTTTTTTTTTTTTTTTTTTTGCATTAGCATTTTCTGATTTTTTTTCCCACATCAGTCCAAGCATCCAGTTTTTCCCACATCAGTCCAAGCATTTTTCTATACAAAATCGTGCATTAATTTGATATAGGTTTAATAAAACATTGTCATATTAGTGGCATCATTGTAGCTTTAAAAGTAAAACATAAATAGATCTATAATGTTCATGTTCTCAATTTCTATGAATATTCGATTGTTTATTTTTTCATTACAACGTACGAACATATCTACTAGTAAAATATTAAAACAACATATATAGTGCTATAAATAGTCCAATAGTACCACTGCCTACTGGATCAGGGCTTGTCTGGTCCCGCCCCCGCAACAAAAATCACGAGGCGTGACAGGGACGGGACCCTTTGAATCCGGGTGGCTGGGTCCCAAACAAACATCAGATGCAGCTTTCAGCGAAGGAGAGCCACACAGCAGCAGAAATATCAAGGTGTGAATCACTATTCATAATAAGAAGACGAGCTTATAGCACCTAGTAGCTTTAAATCAAAGAAAAAACGAGCATAGCAGGATCACTAAGCCGACACTTGCTTTTGGTTGTTCCTGCTTTGGCATGTGTGTGGGCCCTGTGTTGTTGCTAGGATACAACCTCACTCATCCATTTATATAGCTTTACTTCACTCTTTTTCCTTTGCAGCCACTCTACGATTTCGTTTTTGACAACGGAATCCTATGACTAGAAGTGGGGTACTATTTCACTATCCTAGTTTTAGTTTGCCTTCATTGCAAATCAACAGATTGTGTACAAATTCAGTTTTTTAATTTACTAATTCAGTCTACCAGTTCAAAATTTTGTTATCGACGGAACTTGGAGAAGTTTGTAGGAAATCTGTCCCCGGATCATATCCTAGCGTCCTTGGATACGATGCCATGCCACGGTCGTTTTCAAAGAGACAGGGTTGAGCATCTCGAAGAGATTAACCAAATTATTTTTCTAAATATAAATTTGGTTATTATTGAAAGTAAAACGCCTCCAACATACTCTGTAAATGACTCTATAAATTTAGTAGCTCTTTCTTTTCCCTCATTCACTCTCTACTACTTTTAGATAGCCTATCTCACCGATCACACAGTTTCTAGGGTTACCGAGTCTGATAAAGTACTCTAGTATTTTTTTTATTAAATTTATTTTAGAGAATAGCTAAATTTATGGTCTTTTTGTTTTTGCTAATCCGTCGGAGATGCTCACCAAAGTCCCGACGCATTGGTCCCTCACCTCAAACTCTCCACAGATATCTCCGGGAGCAGCAGTTATGTCGTATCATTGTCGCGCCCTCGTCCACGGTCCATTTCCTCACCCGCCCTTCTCCCCCGGAGCTGGTGCTCCCTGCTCCCTCGCTCCAAGTTAGTGCAGGGTTACCCTTGTCCTCCAGAGCTCTGCGGTTGCCGCGGCCAAGGGCGTCCGTGGAGAAGCGAGAGCAGGTGACGATGGAGGAGCAAGGCGGCCAGGCGGCGTTCGGATGGGCGGCCAGGGATGCCACCGGCGTCCTCTCCCCCTACAGCTTCTCCACAAGGTGGTAACATCTGTCACTGTCGTTGAGCACTCTGCTTTGCTCGTTCGTGCTTCATTTTGTTCTGCCATATATATCGTATGAATTGCAGCTCCTGGAAGATGTCTAATAAATCTTACCTTCTCTACACAGTTTCAGATTTCTAAATTAGAGTATTCTACTTCTTCATGAGAGGCTTACCTAACATAGAATATATTTTTTAAGTTAAAGTCTGGAGGAGAAAAAGAGAACAAAATTCGTTACGCGTATAGAATTTGGGTGGTGAACTTTGAGGCAGCTAGAGCTAGCTGCCCCTTTCTACTTTATATACTGAACTTGGTATCGGCTGATAGACGATGTTATATGTGGAGTATAACAAATGTTCAGAGTTCTTCCTTGCAGAGTAACTTACCTCAGTTCATGGAATCCATTTCACTGGTTCCAATTTCAGGGTTCCTAAAGACGACGATGTCACGATCAAGGTGCTCTACTGCGGAATCTGCCACACCGACCTCCACATCATCAAGAACGACTGGGGAAACGCCATGTACCCTGTCGTCCCCGGGTAATCGTCGAATTCGCGGCCGAATGTTGCAAATGATTTGCTAGACGCAACGGCAATGGTAATGTCCTTTGACGACCCGTTGGTTGCGCGCGCGCGCAGGCACGAGATCGTCGGCGTGGTGACCGGCGTCAGCGGCGGCGTCACGCGGTTCAAGGCCGGCGACACGGTCGGCGTGGGCTACTTCGTCGGCTCCTGCCGCTCCTGCGACAGCTGCGGGAAGGGGAACGAGAACTACTGCGCCGGGGTCGTGCCCACCTCCAACGGCGTCGACCACGCGCACGGCGGCGTGCCCACCAGGGGCTTCTCCGACGTCATCGTCGTGAACGAGCACTACGTGGTCCGCGTCCCGGACGGCCTGGCGCTGGACCGCACCGCGCCGCTGCTCTGCGCCGGCGTCACCGTGTACAGCCCCATGATGCGCCACGGCCTCAACGAGCCCGGCAAGCACCTCGGCGTCGTGGGGCTCGGCGGCCTCGGCCACGTCGCCGTTAAGTTCGGCAAGGCGTTCGGGATGAAGGTCACCGTCATCAGCACGTCCGCGAGCAAGCGCCAGGAGGCCATCGAGAACCTCGGCGCCGACGAGTTCTTGATCAGCCGGGACCCGGAGCAGATGAAGGTGTGCCGTCACATCTGGCCTGGCCCTTCGCCACGGGCACTGCTGATTGTGATTGGAATCTGTAACTAACGCGGGGACCTCCTCTCCTCCTGATATATGTGAGCTGAGCAGGCGGCGACGGGGACGATGGACGGCATCATCGATACGGTGTCGGCGTGGCACCCGATCACGCCGCTGCTTGCGCTGCTGAAGCCGTTGGGGGAGATGGTGATCGTGGGCGGGCCGAGCAAGCCGCTGGAGCTGCCGGCGTACGCCTTCGTGCCGGGCGGGAAGGGCGTGGTTGGGAGCAATGTCGGCAGTGTCGGGGACTGCCAGGCCATGCTGGAGTTCGCGGGGAAGCACGGCATCGGCGCCGAGGTGGAGGTGATCAAGATGGACTACGTCAACACGGCGATTGAGCGGCTCGAGAAGAACGACGTCCGCTACCGCTTCGTCATCGACGTCGCCGGCAGCCTCGGCTCTGCCGCCTAGGCATGGTTGAAAAGTTTAAATCTGAGCCCCAATAATTTATTAGCTACCCAATGATGGTCGAAGCTTGTTGATGAGTTGGTGCTTTGTCGTGGTTTTGTGGCTGTAATAGTTCGATGTACAAGTGAAAAAAATAAGAGGAAGACAGGGTACTGTTGCCTTCGCTGGGCTTGTATGCAAAGTGAATGTCCATTACTTAATGGGGTTGTCCAAATGTTTGTTGATAGACAGGAATGACAGTGGATTGGTTTCGGGTCGGATATCCATGAATTTCGGGTCTAGCGGTTTTGGTTGTGGGTTCCGTTTTCACCCACGGATTTTCGGGTTCGGATATCCAAATGGTAGCAGGATTAGTGCAGATGATGCATTTTTTTTCCATGCGAATCACCATTGGGCCCCGAAGCAAATCAGCCCACTAGTAGCCCATCTAGTAACACTAGGTATATAACTCTCCAAATCCTCGGTCCCTCTCCCTTAGCCCCTCCCTCTCTCTCTCTCTCTCTCTCTCTCTCTCTCTCTCTCTCCCGTTTCCCCACCCACCCAACAGCTGGCGCGAGACCGTGATAGCATCTTGGCCGCTACCCGTCCAGGCGCAGGCGCCTGGCCGCTGCCTATCAAGGCCGCAAGGGCCGATGCGCCCAACCGCCCACCAGCTGTCGACTAGGCCTAGCAGGGCGGTGCACCCCACAGCTGCAGGCACCAACGACGCAGCGTGCGTATGCCCAGCAGAGCCCAGCCGCCGGCGTACCCAGCTAGGGCGGAGGTGGGCAGGCCCGCATGGTAGCAAGTTGGGCACAGGAGCAGAGGCAAGGCCCGGCACGACGAGCCCGCCGTCGCACACGAGTTGATGGCGCGACAAGGTGGAACCACGTCCGCCTCGGAGGATGAGGTCAACAAAGCATGCCACGGTGGACGCCCTTATCGTGCCAGTGCATATGGCGCGACAGTGTGATATTGTCGTGCCACTCGCGCTGCCACGACCAAAAGGGTTAGTTTTTGCAATATCATTTTGGCAACGGTTATTATTAAAATATTGATTAAAAATGATTAAAAATAAAAAAAATCATGTGTACTACAGGTTGATTTTTAAGAAATTAGAGGCCTTTCTGCTAGACGTGCCGATTAAGTGTCGAAGCGTAGAATGGCCACCTAGGCTTCGAATCGTGCGGCGCCAGCAGAACCAAGCGCATTTTAATAACCCTGATGTCATGTGGAAAAAAAAAATTGATCGGTCAACTTAGAGACAACGTATCATGAGCGTGGTACGAGCCCTAACTAATCTATAGGAAAACTTGGATGGAGAAGATATAATAAGCGGATCATCAGATCTCGTGCACTAGGAACTTTGTTTGGTAGTGTTACAATACACCACGGCAGTGCACTGTATAATTATTCCCCCGACTGGTACACAAGAAGAAGCAGGCAGCGTATTCTGCCGCCTAAGCAGCGGGGCCCAGACTGCCAGCGACATCAACGACGAACCGGTACCTGACGTCGTTCCTCTCTAGCCGCTCGATGGCCGTGTTGACGTAGTCCATCCTAACGAGCTCGATGTCCGCGGTGATGCCGTGCTGCCCCGCGAAGTCCAGCATCGCCTGGCAGTCGCCGACGCTGCCCACGCCGTTCCCGGCCACGCGCTTCCCGCTCGGACAGACGGCGAAGGCTGGCAGCTCCAGCGGCTTGCTGGGCACTCCCACGAGCACCATCTGCCCCATGGGCTTCAGAAGCTCGAGCAGCGGGCGAGCGGGTGCCACGCCGACACCGTGTCAATGATGCCGTCCATCCTGCCTGCCGCCGCCTGCGTACACATAACATCGCGTCAGTCATCTGCCATGGCAGCAATCGACGGTCACAGGACCTGAACTTGAGCTCGCTGTTACCTTCATCTGCTCGGTGTCGCGGCTGACCAAGAACTCATCGGCGCCAAGGCGCTCGATCGCCTCATCACGCTTGGCAGGGGACGAGCTGATCACCGTGACCGCCATCCCGAACGCCTTGCCGAACTTGACAGCCATGTGGCCGAGGCCACCGAGGCCCACGACGCCGAGGCGCTTCCCAGGCACGTTGAGGCCGTACTCCACCATGGGGCTGTACACCGTGACGCCGGCGCAGAGCAGCGGCGCGGCGCCGTCCAGAGGCAGGCTTGGGGGGATCCTGACGACGTAGTGCTGGTCCACCACCACGACGTCGGAGAAGCCACCCTGCGTGGTCGTCACGCCGTCGCGGTCTACGCCGTTGGAGGCGAGCACGACGTTGGGGCAGTAGTTCTCGTGCCCCGTGCTGCAGCTCTCGCAGGTGCGGCACGAGTCGATGAAGTAGCCCACGCCCACCGTGTCGCCGGCCGTGAACTTGGTGACGCCGGGGCCGACGTCCGTGACGACGCCGACGACCTCGTGCCTGCACCGAAATGCGGTCAGGATTCGCTGCTGGCTTGCTCTCGATGGAAACCCTGAATAAATCCGTCCTTGCTTGCTTGGTGAACAAAATTACCCGGGAACGACGGGGTACATGGCGTTGCCCCACTCGTTCTTGATGATGTGGAGGTCCGTGTGGCAGACCCCGCAGAAGAGCACCTTGATCGTCACGTCGCCGTCTCTCAGAACCCTGAAACCATGTGACTCAGCGTCGCATCCCCATCAAACTGATGTGCAGGAGTGCACGAAGCATGATTTGACAAGCTCCACTCCCACAGTGTCCTGCTACGTTCGAAATAAAACAGAGCAAGCTAGGCATGGAGCGAGAGAGAGAACCTCGAGAAGCTGTAAGGGAGAGGTGTCCGGAGGCGTCCCTCGCAGCCCACCCGAGCGCCGCCTTGCTTCCTTGCTCCATAGAAACTCCTTGATCCGCCCTGCAAACTCACTAGCTTGTTGTCACTCTGCTTTGTCGTTCAGGGACCAGGCTGATTCGCCGGTGCTAAGCAGTGGTTAAGTTAGAATAAATAGACTGTCAGTGCTCAAGCAGGCCGACTTCAATGGTTTATTTAGTCGGCACCCATGGAAAAGCCGCGCGAACGGCACCAAAAAAAAAGAAAGAAAAGAAAGAAAAAAAAAGGCAGTTGGCTCATCCACCCCGTGCCGCGACTCGCGGCGTCTTTGCAAAACGGAGTGGAAACCGACAGGAGCAGAGAACACGAATGGCCACATTGTTATAATATTATTAGGCACGGTGAGGCGGTGAGCAGCTCGGAACATGACTCCAAATTTTGCTGGTCGCGGTCAGGACAGACCATATCATAGTAGGTTAGTTGGAGATTGAATTATACAACGCTACAAACCCTTTATCGACACCGACTGAGTTCCACTTTATCCTAGACTAGCAAATATGTCTACCCTTGTAATGGGAGAGAAAGAACAACTAATTGGATACGTACACCATTATGATGGATATGTTTTGAAGAGATCTCTCTATAATTCCTGATGTTAAAATATTGTCATTAAAATTCGTGTATCGCTTGAACTGTGCCACTTTCTACGTATTGGATGGTTTTGAATGAACGTGCACACAACCATATTTACGTTGTCCCCAAAATACCTACGGCACAATCTCTTTCTACCAGTGACTTGTGGAACACATGTGTGTATTACAAAAGGTTTGTTGAAAGAAATACATATCACAAGGATTACAAGAGAAAATAAAATAAAAATAGAAAATAAAAAGGTGATTGATTATATATGCCGGACTGCTTACCCATTGCTCCCCATGCTAGGCCTTTCGTAGGCCTAGGATGTGTAGGGGTGGTCTAGGAGCTCCCACGATTCACACGCATGACAGCATGAGCAACTCATGTGATGCCTCCACTCTCGAGATCAGTGGCAGATCTCGCTTAAATTTTTAGTTGTGACAAATATTACCTCTGTTTTGGATGCTTCTGGCACCTGATCAGTGGCAGACCATTATGCTCGTAGTTGTCGCCTAAAATTTTAGTTGTGACAATTTTTTCTTTTCTTCATGAGCAACTAGTCATTACTCCATTAGTTGACAAATTTAGACTAAAAGATGTCCATGAGTCCATGTCCAGAAAAACTTTTTGCTTTTAGTTTACTCTTAGTCCATGTATCCAAACAACACTAAATTAAAAGTAATCCACCTAACCTTTAGTCCAATTAAACTTTAGTCCTAGGTGACCCAAAAAGGGCCTTAGCCATAGGCATCTAGGTCCATCCTTTGTGAAATCAGCACATTAGGGAGAGAGAAGAGGACATGAGAATCTTAATGTTAGAGCCTTTGGGCTTGTTGCCTTGTTAATGTTCACACCGCTAGACCATCAAATTGATGTGCGTGAGCTTTTACTTGAAGTATTGAGTCACTAAAAAACATCATGTTAAACACCACTATTCATCATCTTGCTCTTGGTCGCTCGATGCCTCAGCCAGCATGCACTGGAGCGTATTGGGGACTAGAAATGGGAGCGAGCCACGCATGTTGTCGGTGTTTTGTAAACCGGACTAGTAAACTTATACGATTGACGCGCTGCTCTAAGAAGACGATGGTAGCATCCAATAGACACGAGGATTTATACTGGTATAGGCCGGAGCCCTACGTTCAGTCTCAGAGGTGATCGAGTGCATGTTCCTCGCTTGAATGCTCTGAAGTTCTTACAATGGGGGGTGCAAGAAGGGTGGAAGAGATGGAAGGACCTATGCTAGGCGAAGGGCCGCCCAAAGAGAAGCTCCAGGGGTCCTACTACAATGGTGAATGAATGGAATGGTAGAGGATGTGAATGTCATCATGAGATGGGTGCCCTGGCTGCCCTTATATAGAGTTCGGGGCCAGGGCTTGTACAAAGAGGTGGTTCTCCCGACCGAAGGGTCGAGAGCTTGAGGGAGGGCCTAGCTAACTTGGCTTACAAGATACGCCGTCTTCTGGTGCACGTCCGGTCGTGGCTATCGTCATGGTCTTCTGGCCACATTGCGGCAGGGTGTCACGTGGTGCTACTGTGCCGGCCATGGCGGTACTGTAGCCTTGTTGGTGGTTCATCAGCCGTCCTGTGCAACGCGGTGTCCATCGTGGCCTTCGTCATCGTCTCCTGGTTCACAGGGGCGTCGTATCCAGAGTAGGTAGTCGCCCTGGATCGTCGATCACTTGGTCACTTAGCGGGGTGGCCTTTGTGTCGAGCCCCTTATCATCGATCCTATCCCGTAGTGGGTGGGATCATACAAGCATCTAGTCGGTCCGTATTTGGATGATGGGTGTCGTACTCGTTGCCACCGTGGTGTGGTGTAGTCTCGTCGGTGCGGCATTGCACAAGGATGGTATCTGACTAGGCCGAGGTGACCGCTGTCCCCTCGGTCCTTGCGAGGTCGGTGTGGCGTGCTTGCCCTTGTCAGAGCAGGCGCACTTAGCTGTGCCCGACCTCCCTCATCCCCTTCGGGGGTCGTGATGGGAGAGGTAAATGCGCCTTTTCGCTACTGTGTGGCTAAGGCGGGTGGAAGGGGTTGGGGATGACCCCGGCCTTGGCATCTGGCCCGCTCCGCTCGGCTTTTGCCGGGCCTCGGTCGTTCGGGCCTTCGCCGACTGGTGAGTTGTGGGCCGCGTGGCCTGCCAACTAATCGGTGCCCTAAGATACCCCGGGGTTATAACCCCGACACATGTGCTCGTGATCATCATCTTTGCTCCTCTGTGCTCGGCTTCCCACCCAAAACCGCTACATCTACACACTTTTTTCTGCTTCTGCAGCAGTGGGCTCTATCCTTTTTGGCCACCCCACCTTTGCACTAAAAAGGTTCATGTCTGCTTGATGAAAAACGGGCTAATACCTGCTCGAGAAAAAAACAGGGCCATGGGCAGACCTAGAGGCTAGTCCCTTCTACCTTGGACTACCTTGGGATTGGGCCCAAATGTTTTACACCCCATTTGGATGTCAATATTGAGGCCTAGAATTTGGAATTGGAAATGGTAGACCCGAATTCCACGTGTTTGGATGATCATGGCATTGGAGTATGGAAACTAGGCTCATTTCCGCGTGGCATTCGCTTCACCTAGCGCACTCCAAATGCGATACCGAGCCAAGACCCTCAGTATATATTGGCTAGAAATGCGTGCCTTCCGCCCCTCCATGCATTTCTAGCTCCGCTCGTCACATCGCCAACTGCAGCGCCTCGCTGTCCCCGCCGCCCTCTTGCGCCAGGCGCCCCTTCGCCCTCCTCGCCGGATAGAGCCCCTCCACCCCCTCATGCTGCCACTCCATCCTCCTCGCCGGATCAAGTCCCTCCATTGCCTCGCTCGCCGTCCTTCGCCCCCTCGTTGGAGCCCTCCGCCGCCTCTGCCCACTCCCCAACGACGAGGATGATGGAGACCTCCTCATGATGATGGTGGCCGCTGCCAAGATCCGCCCACCATGACAGAGGTCAAGCTGCCCCCGCCGTCCATTGAGGTATGGCCCTTATGGCTGCGGTCGAGGTCCAGACACCTCCTCGCTCTCTTCTTCCTTAGCTCCGAACCCCCACACCATCTTCTTCCTCAGCTCGATGGGGGGTGCGGGCTCAAGCAAGGGATGAGGTTGGCAGGAGGCCCCACCATGAGATGGGGCAGTAGTTGGGTGGTGGGCGTGGCCACCGCCGTCGATGAGGATAAGGGCTGTCATGGGCGTGGTGGGGTGGAGAGAAAAGGTGTGTCCAATTCCGGTTTATACACATCCAAACAAAAATGGTTATTTGTCATCTCACTATATTCCAACTAGTAACTCCATGACATCCAAATAATAGATTTGAAGTAACCCATTGCCAAAGCTAGTCTGATTGGGTATTGTAACCAATTCAATTTCAGCGCCTTCAATGCCAACATCCAAACGGACCCTTAGGCACTGTTTGGATGCTTTGTGATTGTTTACACCTGTAAACAGATTCCGGTTGGAATTATTAGTGCACAAGAATACAACTGAAATTTGTTACACCAAAATGTTGTTCGGATAGAGAGTGTTGGAACATCATCCAAATGATCCCCGACCACCCCAATGACGATGCACCAACGATCCCCAACCGTCGCCGTCCACGACCACCCGGCGTCTCATGAACCTCGCCAACGACCCCGACCCTGCTGCCGACACACAAGCGATCCCTATCCTCATTGTCGCCAAGACAAGGACCGCCCTTTGCCGCTCGACCTCGAAGGTTCCTTCAGCGCATCTGGATTTTGCATAGATGGAATGCACTTCCAAGGCTCGTGCAGAGGAGCGGTGCCTTCTTTGGGGTGACCGGCGAGCATGGAGTCGGCGAGTTGCTGGAGAGGACGAGGCTGATAGTTGTCGTATTTTTTTTTCAGATCTCGTCACACAACATTCTTTTTCGGCCGGTTTTGGCCTAATACAAGTGTAAAATAAGTGACCTAAGGGCAGTCCCAATAAAAGAAACTAGTAGTTTCTATAACATAGGATACCGCACCAAAAATTACTGCTTTCCAACCCATGGTTTCTATGAGTGATAATTATTTTCTCTTTCTCTCTCTCAACTCTATTTTCTTTCTCCAATGGGAGTGCGGCACGAGCCCTCTAGAAACTGGTGGTTTCTCCCCAATGGCGATTTCATGGTTTTTTGGTGTATTGGGTTAAGAGTAGACCTGATTTCTTCACGAGGAAACCATTTCTAGGATTTTTGCTCTCTTTCTTCGTTAATTACGTTGCCATGTCAGTGTTTTGCCTACGTGACAAGTCATTTAATGGGGATAGAAACCATCATCAATACATCATTATGACTGCCCTCACAACTCACCCAAACAGTATTTTTTGAATCGGGCTCTGCAAATTTCTGGGTCAGTAATTTACAATGGTTTTGGGTCTAAAACCGAATTTCCAAACATGCCCTTATTCAGCCCGTTCGGTTGGCTGGTTCGTATCGTTGCTAGTTCGTGAAGAAGTACTGCTGGCTGTTTTGTGTGAGAGAAAAATACTGTTCCGGCTGGAAATTTATGATCGTTTACGACAAGCCACAGCAAAACGAACAGGCTGATTGTTGATGCTAGCCCATTATAATTGCACCTGAGCAGTGAGCCCTAACGGGATGGCAACTCGCGTAGTGACGGCAGCAGCTCACTGGTCCCTCCAACGTGCTCGTGGGCGGGCAGTCGGCTGGCGTTGATCTGCCTCATCAACTGAGACAAACTTTTAAAAACCTATAATTCAGGACAAGATTAATAATTGTGGTGATTTAATTATATATATTGGATTAAGATAATGGTTAGCTTGGCACGCATTTGGTCAAAACTACAGAATCGATATGTTTAATTTAGGGTTGGTGAGGGGTGACGGAGAGATATACAACTATATATAATATAATATATGCAACGTTGTACTCCCTCCATCCCAAATTATAAGTCATTCCAAGAATCTTGGAGAGTCCAACTTTTTCAAGTTTGACTAAAATTATAGAGAGAAACACAAAGATTGATGACATCAAATAGGTATAATATGAAAATATAACTAACGAAGAATCTAATAATACTTACTTGTTATGATAAATATTATTATTTTGTTATATAAATTTGGTCAAACTTAAAAACTTTGACTCTCCAAGATTCTTGGAATGACTTACAATTTGGGATGGAGGGAGTAAATGATTGTGACAATGTGACCTTCACTGCATGCATATTTGCACCACATTGGTTCCCCCAAGCGATGTGTAGCCATAGCTACCACATAGCACAGTATTCTTTATTTGTCGATGGCTACTCACTCCATGTCCACCAAATCGTACTGATATGATACACCCGTCGGCGGCCGCAAGTTATTGTTCCATGCCTGCCATACACTTCCTCAATCCCGAATTATATGTCATTCGAACTTTATTGGAAAGTCAAAGTATCTCAAATTTAACCGAAATTATAGAAAGAATTATAAAGATTTATGACATACTCGCTCCATTCCAAATTATAAGACGTTTTGGCTTTTCTTGATTCATAGCTTTTGCTACGCATGTAGATACATGTTATGTCCAGATACATAGTAAATGCTATGAATCTGGCAATGCCAAAACGTCATATAGTTTGGGACAGATGAATTAATTAATAAAGAATCTAATGATACTTATTTGGTATCATAAGTGTTATTATTTTATTATATAAATTTAGTCAAACTTGAGATATTTTGACTCTTTAAGAAAGTTGGAATGACTTATAATTTGAAACATAGGGAATACTAGATAGAAGTGTATAGTACTATGAAATTTCGGAAAATTTATTTTGTGAAGTTCGTGAGCCTTGAGATGTTGACTAATCTTTGGATGTAGAATGCTTAATTAAGCGGAATTAGCCTTGAGTATGTATGCATCAGTACCTTTTTTTTTTTTGGAAAGTATATGAAGTCTAAATTTGCTGCATATAAACTTGACAATGTACATCGAGTCATGACTTTACATAAAGTTCAAAGATGGCGACCAATGCCGCAGACTATAGCATGAATCAACGAAATGGACTACAAGCGTTAGCCGCGGCCCGCCGGCGACTTTAAGAAACGGGCGAGCTGCTGGGAGCAGCCGAGCAGGTGGACTGAATAATGAACAGTGAACCAATGCAGTGAGCACCGAGACCGACGGCTACCTGCTATCTGATCTGCCGTCACCATATGTCCATGACAGCTGCGCTGCGTCCTATTTATGCCCAACTCCGTGGTTAGTGACAATACTACCAGCGTACCACCCTGGTTAGTGACTTAGTGGTTACTGAAACTGAAACTGATCGAAGTCAAGTTAGGGTGAGGTTGAAGAAGAGCAGACCAAAGATCAATCCAGGAGGGTTTAATGGCGGAAGGCAAGGAGGCGCACGGGTGGGCAGCCAGGGATGTCTCTGGTCACCTCTCCCCGTACCACTTCTCACGGAGGTACTAGTATGATAGTATCAAAGAATCCTTTTCTCTCCACTGACCATACTGTGTCTGTGTGCAATATGGAGCTAACCCGCCGTCATCGTATACTGAAATAATAATGGTGCGCCGCGCGCCGTTTGATTTCGATTTCAGGGTTCAGAGAGACGACGACGTCACGATCAAGGTGCTCTTCTGCGGGCTTTGCCACACCGACCTCCACGTCATCAAGAACGAGTTTGGCAACGCCATGTACGTACCCCATCGTCCCCGGACACGAGGTCGTCGGCATCGTCACGGACGTCGGCCCTGGCGTGACCAAGTTCAAGGCGGGCGACACGGTGGGCGTGGGCTACTTCGTCGACTCGTGCCGCAGCTGCGATAGCTGCAGCAAGGGGTATGAGAGCTACTGCCCGTAGCTCGTGCCAACCTCCAACGGCGTGGGCTTGGACGACAACGATGCCACAACCCAGGGGGCCTTCTCCGACGTCCTCGTCGTCCGCGAGCACTACATGGTGCGGGTCCCGTCCAGCCTATCGCCCGCCGGGGCCACGCAGCCCGCTGCTGTGCGCGGGCGTCACCGTGTTCAGCCCGCTGGTGCAGTATGGACTCAACGCCCCCGGCAAGCACCTGGGCGTCGTGGGGCTCGGAGGCCTCGGCCACCTGGCCGTCAGGTTCGGCAAGGCGTTCGGGATGACGGTCACCGTCATCAGTACGTCGCTGAGTAAGCGCGAGGAGGCGCTCGGCCGCCTCGGCGCCGACGCGTTCCTGGTCAGCCGCGACCCCGCGCAGATGGAGGCCGCGGCGAGCACGATGGACGGCATCGTCGACACGGTGTCGGCGGACCACCCTGTCGCGCCGCTGCTGGACCTGCTCAAGCCCATGGGGCAGATGGTCGTCGTGGGCTTCCCGAGCAAGGCTCTTGAGGTGCCCGCCTTCGGCCTCGTCACCGGCGGGAAGTGCGTGGCCGGGAGTGCCGGCGGCGGCGTCG